TCCCTACAGCTAATAAATAGTTGATTGTACTTTTTTCTGGGAGTATTTATTTTTATTTTTTTTTGTTTATAATTTTTATGCAAGGAAAAACGAAATTAATAATTACTACTAATTATTACAATGTAATATTTTAATATTATTTAATTAAATTTGAAGGGGATTTTCTCCTTTCCGATTTTTACTAATTTTAGTATTTTTACTATTTTTAGTATTTTTAGTATATTTTATTTTATTATTTTTATTATTTTACTATTTCTTCATTTTTACTATTGTTATTTTATTATTTTCAGAATTTTACTATTTTTCTTTTTTTTTTTACTATTTTTATTATTTTACTATTTTTTACTATTTTCCTTTCTTTAAAAATTTTTCTGTTTTTGGTATTTTTAGTATTTTATTATTTTTTTCTACTTTTACTTTTTTTTTACTATTTTTCAATTTTCACTGCTGTTACAATTTTCTTCTTATAATTTTACTATTAGTAAAATTTTCTTATTTTCACTATTTTTATTGTTTTACTATTTTACTATTTTTCTTTTTTTTACTATTCTTATTATTTTCCTATTTTTTACTACTTTTCTTTCTTTAAATATTTTTTTGTTTTTGGTATTTTTAGTATTTTGCTATTTTTTTCTACTTTCACTTTTTTTATTTACTATTTTTCAATTTTCACTGCTGTTAGAATTTTCTTCTTATAATTTTACTATTAGTACAATTTTCTTATTTTTCCTATTTTATAATTTTCTTATTTTTATTACTTTCATTGTTTTAGTATTTTACTATTTTTAGTATTTTTCTATTTTATTCTTTTTAGTATTTTACTATTTTTTCACTTTTACTATTGCTATTTTATTATTTACAGAATTTTACTATTTTTCTTTTTTTTACTGTTTTTATTATTTTACTATTTTTTACTATATACTTTCTTTTCTTTAAATATTTTTCTGTTTTTGATATTTCTAGTATTTTACTATTTTTTTTACTACTTTCATTTTTCTTACTATTTTTCAATTTTCAACTGCTGTTACAATTTTCTTTTTATAATTTTACTATTAGTACTATTTTCTTATTTTTTCTATTTTATAATTTTCTTATTTTCACCATTTTTATTGTTTTACTAATTTACTATTTTTAGTACTTTTTTGTTTTCACTATTTTTATTATTTGTACTACTTTCCTATGTTTACTATTTTTACAATTATTACTCTTTTTCTATGTTTACCATTTATTTATTTGAATATTGTTACTATAATTCTATTTCTAATTTTTATTTTTACAATTGTTGAAAAATAATTATTTATTTTTAATTTATTTATTTTCAGTATTTTAATATTTTTCTGTTTTTACTGTTTTTTACTACTTTTCTTTTGTACTATATTTTTCTATTTTTACTTTCGATACTATCTTTTACATATTTTTTAATTCTCTTTTCTTATTTTTATTTTTACTGTTTTACCACTTCCCTTTTTCGACTATCTTACTATTTTTACTATTTCGTTAATTTATTTTTTATTCATTTATTATTCACTATCTTTTACTTTGTTATTTTTTATTAATTGTAGAGAATGATTATCTGTTAAATATTAATTTATTTCTTAAGAAGATAAAATTTTCATTTATCAATAATAAATTTAAATAAAATGGTAAAAATTAATATTATTTCAGAAAAATTATTTTACTTTTCAAAAAATTTTAATTATTAATTAAATTGTTATTTGGTTAAATATTGTTATTCTTTTGTTAAACTTTCTGTGAATTATTTATTGCCTAAAAAATTAAAAGAATTTTTTTTTATTGAAAAAAAGAATTTTTTTGATGAAAAAAAAGGTTTTTTTTTATTGAAAAAAGAATATTTTTTATTGAAAAAAAAGATTTTTTTTTATTGAAAAAAGAATTTTTTTTTATTGAAAGAAAAGAATTTTTTTTATTGAAAAAAAAAGAATTTTTTTGTATTGAGAAAAAAGAATTTGTTTGATTGAACAAAAAGAATTTTTTGTATTGAAAAAAAATTGTTTGATTGAAAAAAAGCAAATTTAGTATTTTGAAAAAATTCAAATACATTTTTTGATTGAAAATTAATAATTCTGCTTTGGAATTGTTAATATCAAATAATAGTGAGAAATTTCTATTTCGATTATGAATGTAATTATGCAGAAGTATTTTCGCATTTTGATTATGCAATGATTGTGAGGTCCTTTTGAATGTCAACATCTATTATCACGTTACGAAACTAAACAGTTCCCTCGACGTTCATTACAATTGAGGCTATCTAACCAACTGCTAAGTAACAAACGGAAAGCTAGGTGTCCACGATCCAATTTCCATCGAGGTTCAGTTAATCTATTTAGCAGTTTACTCAATTTCTAACAAACACTAATTTCATCTCAAAAATAGTTTCTTATTTCTCTCGCAGAATTTTTTTTTTATTAACTAAAAATACTTTACGATTTTTTTTTATTAACTAATAATTATTTTGAATGTTTTTTTAATAAACTAAAAATTATATTCAAAGTTTTTTATTATTACTTTACGATTTGTTTATTAATTAAAATTACCTAACGATTTTTTTTTAATAACTAAAATAGTTGACGAATTTTTTTGAAATTAAATAAAATAAATAAAAATTATTTTGAGAATTTTTTGATTATATCTAAAATTACTTTAATTTTTTTATTAACTAAAATTACTTTGACAAATTATATTTATTTTTCGTTTTAAAATAATAATTCAAAGATAAAAATGTTATTATATATGAAAAATGTAGAACGAAAGTGTTGATTTTATTATTTAATCGCATTGAAGCATCATTTTATAACTTTTATGTGAGAGGCCCATCACAATGAATGAATATATGAGGCGATAAAAATTCCATAAAAATTTACTAAACATCAGTTACGAAATGGTGTGTGGCACTATCTAATAATATTGAAACCTTTTCGAGAAAAGTTCGAAAAAAGCTTTTTAGATTAAAAAAAAAAAAAAATTGTTAACGTGTCATAAATTTTTACAACCAAATCTTACTTTAGTTTTTTCGCACCATTTTTTTATATTCATCTTTTATTTCTATATGGCACTCTCTCCTTTTCAAATATTCAAGTTAAAACCCAGAATAATTTGAATTTTTAATAAAAAGGGTCTATCTATTATACAATTTTTCTCACAATTTTGTATTTTAAATTCAAATTTTTTTTTAATATTGTTTTTTTAAATGTACATTTTGTTAAAATTGGATATTTTAATTTAAGAAAATGTATTTTACTGAAAATATTTATTTGAAATTTTTATTTAAAAAAGCAGTCAAAGTAATTTTAGTTATTAAAAAAAAGTAATTTTAGTTCTAGAAAATTTTAAAAGTAATAAAAATATTTATTAAAAATATTTCTCGTAGAATTGTAATTTAAATATAATTCTTTAAATTAGAAAATGAATTTTCAAAAATAAAATATAAATATTGCACAATGTCGTTAAAAAAATTAAGTAAACATAAAATATCGTCTGACTTCCAAGGAATTTTACTACTGAAAATAAAATTTCTCACACGAAATTTTTCTCATCTATAAAATAAATTATTTCGAACCTTCCTTATAAAAGCAGGTCTTTAATGATATTTTTAATGGAATTTTACAAAATTGTTACAAAGTCTTGCTAAACAATGTTTTTTCTACTTGAGATCAAAAAGAAAAAAATTTGTCCCACTTTCTGCTTTTACCTCGTCAAAGATTTAATATAATTAACATTAAATTTAATGCAAAAAAAAGAAGAAGCAAAATAAAATTTTTTTTTCTCCAATACTATTAATAATATGATTTTTTATAGCGTCAAATGTGACACATTAATATAACATAATTAGGCTGAAGACACGTATAAATTATGAAAGAAAAAGTGAAGTAAAAAAGAAAAAATTTCGAAAATTGATAAATGTATGTCTTTCTCAATATATTTCGAAAGTAGCCGTGGAGTACGATAAAAAATTTCGCACAGTTATAAATCTTATGTCACTAATTGGTAATCATCTACTCATCAGACGTTTAAATTATCATCAGAGGAGATGAGAAAATAAAACATGAATGAAATATAACAAGATGATTGCAAATTTTTTAAATCTAATATTTAATGATATGTAATTCTTGTCCTCTTTTTCTCTGTGAATATAATTTTCAACCTGATTTATTCTATTTATTTTTTATTATGTACAGTGAAAATAAGCATTCATATTATAATTATTATAATATTTTATACATTTTATATATTTTTAGTATTTTAATATTATTCTTAATATTTTGATAATATTTTTATTATTATAATATTATTTTTATTATAATTTAATAATATTTTTATAATTTTAATAGTATTTTTTATCGTTGACTATAAACATAAATTTAAAGATTGAATAACTAATAAAATGTAATTTAAACTTTTTATTTGTAAATGAAAAATTATTATTATATTATTTTTGCAAATAAAAAAAAAAGGAAAAAAAGTTTATAATTATATTTTTATTTGTTAACATTCTATACGGATTAGTAATATTTTAATAAAAAGTAAATACAATTTTTTTATAATTATTATTACATTTATAATAATGATTTGATAAAAATTTATTTATATAATTTATTTAGTTTGTAATTATTAAATTAATTATTTAAATTAAAGGAGAAATTATAAAATAATAAAAAGAAGAATAAAAAAATATTATTTTGTAATAAAAAGACCTAATTAGCGTATTAAGACCATTTTATTACATAAAATAATTAAAAAAAGAATTTTAACAAAAAGCGCAAATAGTAATAAAAATTTTTTTTTTATTAAATTTCAAATTAAATTAAAAATTATTTAGTAAAAAATTTTTTGTTGAACTTTAAAGTAAATAAAAAAGTTTTTAGTAAAAACTTTTTTGTAGAATTCTAAATTATGTTAAAAATTGAAAACAACGAAAAATCTGGAAGTAGAAAAAATAGAAGGAGTAATGAAGTTGAAAATTTGTATTTTTTTTTTTGCAGATGAGTGTCCAAATTGTGTGGATGAGAATGTGGGTAACTTGGCAGTTTCGAGATGGACGATGCCGCTTTTGAAACTAGGCGAGAAACGATATTACCTGGGGATCTTCTTCAAGGTAAGCGAACTGTCGCCTCGCTGGATTTATTATCTGCTGTCCTACAAAGGCGTACGGTCTTTATTACACTTTTTAGAGCTCATAACTTAAAAGTCAGACTATGTTCGTCTCGGTGAATCTTGGTTCATAAAAAAAAACGAAAAAGAAGAAGAAGGAGAATCCATAAAAATGGGAAAGTAAAATGAATGAAAATCAGTCAATTTTTACAACTATCTTCACTTTTAAACCCTTTCTTACGACACTTCTTTTTTAACACAGATTTAAAGCCACAAAATCATCATTCTTACATTTCGATACCTGACAGAAAAAAAAATAAAATAAAATTTAAACGTAAAAATTTTACTCTACTTCCATTTAAAGACGTAGGTACTTGAATTTTTTGGGTTGAAAAAAAATTATGTAACTTATTTTTAACTCGTAAAAGTGTGGTCTCTGTTAAAATTTAGTATGTTGAAGTTTTTTGTCTGTCCAGAAACTGACTAATTCTACTGAAAACATAATTTTTAAATTTTAACAATAAGAAGAATATTATTAACAAAATTTAGAAAAATATTATTAATAATAATAATAATAAAATCGTTGTCTGACTGATAACGGTATTTGCTACTAGGAATTTTTTTAAATGACCCGTCTGACTATAACTGATTATGACTACTGAAAAAGTCTTCGAAACTGTCTGACTGAAACCGATTTATACTACTGATAAGAAATTGAAATTGAAATTGAAATTTAAAAATGTCTGACTTACATTGACTTTTTCTACTTTAGTAAAAAATTAAAAAAGTTTTCAATTTGTCTGAGTGAAACTGACTTGTACTACTGCTGCAAGTTTGTTAGAGAATAAAAAATCTCGTCTGACCATAAATGATTTTTACTACTTATGGAAAAATTTAGAAACGAAAAAGTAGTCTGACAAGTAATGGAACTTTTCTACTACCAACACTTATAATATTTTCAACGTATGAATCTAACGATTTTTTACCACCTTTAGCAAAATATTGCATATTAACATTTTTCTGAAACAATGTCTGACTTAATGTGACTTTCACTACTGAAAATAAACTATCAAGAATTTTTTACTACTTAAAATGATTTTTACTACTTATTAGAAAATTTTTAGTTCTCAACATTGTCTGACTAAAATTTGCTTCTACTACTGATTCAAATTTCACAAGAATTCGAACAGTCTGACTAAAAATGGCTTTTTCTACTTGTAGCAAATTTTTTTTTTGTAATTAAAAACATGAAATTAACTTTCTGCATTGAAGTCTGAATTTCTTTTGTAGAGAAAAAAAAATTGGGTCTGATCGCAATTGATTTTAATTACTTGCAGCAGAATTTAAAGACTTTATAGCGTTGTCTGACTAAAAGGTACTTCTACTACTTGTTAGAATATCACAACATTTTCTGTGATCCTTAATTGTGTTCATTTATGTCTGACTGAAAATTTATTTCTACCATTGGAAATAAATTGCGAAAAAGTCGACAAGTCTGATCAAAATTGACTTTTTCTACTAATAGGAAAAAAAATTAGTAGCGTTCAAAATGTTTCATTAAAACTAACATTTTTTTAACTAATGTTTCCATGAATGAAAATTCGATTACAATTATTATTTGAATTTTTCACATTATTCGAAAGATGAAATTTCAAATGCTTTTGGTGAAAGCTCATCGATGAGAGATGGAAGTGGTGTAAAGGGATTTGCACAATGTATGACGGCTTCTCTTCTTGATCTCGTAAGAGGATTCACGTGGAGAAGACTCTGCACCCCTCTCACCTCTCTCCCTCCCCTTCTCTCTCGCTCTCCACAATTCACCCTCATTTCAACGTATTTTGCATGGAACTCCTTAACGAGAGACATGAATCATATTCCCTCATGGTTTCTTATGAAATCACGTTTGTCATTCTCCGAGTTACGCTTCAATAATTTCTCTATATATACTGCATCAAAGTTTGAGATATAAGCATGATAAGCATTTTTGTCGAGTGGAAAATTTTCTCCTTTTTCTTTTTTATTTGAGGTGAATTTTAAAAATTTTAAATAACTTTTATCTTTTCGAGAAAATTTATATATTTATAAATATGTATTTTTCTGTTCTCTGAGATGAAAATGGTTTAAAGTATTTTCGAATATTTTATTATTTCAAGTATTTTTGAATATTTATTATTTCAAGAGTTTTTGAATATTTATTATTTCAAGTGTTGTTGAATATTTATTATTTCAAGTGTTTTCGAAAATTTACTATATTTTTTACTATTTTCAAATATTTACAATTTTCTTCTATATTTTCGAATATTTAAATTTTTTCATTTTTCTTATTCTTTTTACTTTTACTGTTTTAATTAATTTTACTATTTTTAATGATTTAATAATTTAATTAGCTTTCTAATCTATTTACTTTTACTGTTTTTATGAATTTAACAAATTTTCCTCTTTCTGCTATTATCGAATATTTCCCAAATTTATTATTGTTTTATTACTTTTATTATTTTACATTTTTTTTATAGTAAATTTTTACTAATTAAAAGAATTTATTTATTTTTATAGATAAAATTATGAAATAAGCATAAATTTTGTTTGGTCACATAAGTGATATCAGTTTTTCAGTAGAAAATTCCATCTTCTAGTCAGACAAGCATTTACTAAAACAAGTAGAACAAGAAGTTTGAGTCAGACATTTAGGACTTTTCGCCTCAAGATGAAAATATCACGTAATAATTTTTTTTCAAACTGTTTCAATAGAAAAATTTACACTGCGAAAGGGTAAAAACTAAAAAATTCCATTTTCAAATTCTAAGGATATTTTTTTTTAATTTAGCATCTAGTAAAAAATTCCATTTTTAGTCAGACAATAAGAATTTTTAAAAATTCTTAAATCTTTTAGACATTGTGTATACAAATAACAAAAAAACTTTCCGTTTATTAATAAATTTATTAATAATATTGTTAAAGATTGTATTTTTATTTTCTAATAGCTCGTTTATCTCGTAAGTGAAGAAATGAGTAATTGAAATTTTTTCATTAATAAAAATATTAAGAATTAAAGTTCTTTTTATTAACTGGTGAGATTTTCCTTTTAGTAGTAAAAGTCACTATACAGTCAGCCATTATGTAAAGAAAAATGGAAAGAATTGTTTTTCGTTAATCAAAATATTAACAATTAAAATGTTCTTATTAGTGATTTCAGTAGTATATGTCACTATACGATCAGCTTTTATATAAACAAATATCGAAAGAAATTTTTTTTGTTAATCAAAATATTAACAATTAAAAGTTGTTTTTATTGATAATTAGTTAGACTTTTATTTTCAGTAGTTGAAGTCACTATAGTATATAGGTAGACATTTTATAAACAAATATCAAAAGAAATTTTTTTTCATTAATAAAAATATTAACAATTAAAATTTCCTTATTAGTAATTAGTTAAACTTTCATTTTCAGTAGTAGAAGTCACTATACAGTCAGCCATTATATAAACAAATAGCGAAAGAAATTTTCCTTATTGCGATAAAATATTAACTACAATATTCTTCGTATTTCATTCTTTCATTCTGTCTGCCTACACTTAGTACTCTAGTTTTTGTGTATGCTTTTGTTTTATTTTTGTTTTTATTTCTTTAAAAAATATTGTTTGACAGATCGAAAAATGTAGGTATTTTTTCATGATTTATAATAAAACAATATTTGAAATTGGAAAATATAGAAAAATATGGTTAACAAATAAATTTTGTTTATTATATGCTTTTTTCTATAACAAATTTCGTTCGACTGATCTAAATTATGCAAATTTTTCTCCTTTTTATTTATAAAACAAGTTGTTCATTTCATGATCATTTAGCTTCCTCAATATAATATATACCAATTGTATAATTTTTTTATTTTAGAATAATTATTTAAAGGTGTTAAGATGAAATTTCAAAAAATAGAAAATTTAAATTATTTGTGAAAAATTAAAATATTTACTAATTCTATAAATATTAATAAAGTACACACTTTATAGAATCAATTCGTTATTACATATGTCAGGAATGCAATTTTGACAAGAATTAATAAAAATTTTACTATAGACAAATGTTATTTCAAAAAATACAAAACTTAATTTTTTCAAAAGTGTGGAACTGCTATTACATGAAAAATTCTCTATTCTTCAAGATTGTGTATAGGACTCAGTCCTTACTAGAACTCTGGTGATTTTCAGATGATTAGAATTATTAAATTTGCAAGAAATAAATTTTTATTTTCGTTTTTATTAAATTATGATTGTCTGATGGCGTACGGGTGGAACTGCTACTACTTAAAAATTGAAATAAAATTCTCTAATCTTCAGGCTTAGGTAGGGCTCAGTCCCTACTAGAACTCAGGAAATTGTCAGACGATTAGAATTATTAAATTTCGAAGAAATAAATTTTTATTTTCGTTTTTATTAAATTATGATTGTCTGATGGCGTTCGGGTAAGGGTGCTACTACTTAAAAATTGAAATAAAATTCTCTAATCTTCAGGATTAGGTAGGGCTCAGTCCCTACTAGAACTCAGGAAATTGTCAGACGATTAGAATTATTAAATTTCGAAGAAATAAATTTTTATTTTCGTTTTTACCAAATTTTTATTGTCTGATGGCGTTCGGGTGAGGGTGCTACTACTTAAAAATTGAAATAAAATTCTCTAATCTTCAGGATTAAGTAGGGCTCAGTCCCTACTAGAACTCTGGTGATTTTCAGATGATTAGAATTATTAAATTTGCAAGAAATAAATTTTTATTTTCGTTTTTATTAAATTATGATTGTCTGATGGCGTACGGGTGGAACTGCTACTACTTAAAAATTGAAATAAAATTCTCTAATCTTCAGGCTTAGGTAGGGCTCAGTCCCTACTAGAACTCAGGAAATTGTCAGACGATTAGAATTATTAAATTTCGAAGAAATAAATTTTTATTTTCGTTTTTATTAAATTATGATTGTCTGATGGCGTTCGGGTGAGGGTGCTACTACTTAAAAAT